AATGGCTCCACTACGATGTCCATTAAAATGTCAATTTGCCACATTTTTTCCTCTTCACTTTGAGCATGGCGAATTGCGTTCTTCCAATTTTCAGCAGTAACATGTTCCACTGCTTGTTGAAATAGTGGATGAAGGTCTTTCATTTTAAATGTGGTGTTGTTTCTGGCCACTTCACCTTTTATTTGCGCCCATATCAGTTCAATTGGATTCAATTCGCAGTGATATGGAGGCAATCGCAGCACTGTACGATTGTGTTCCTTTGCAATTTCATCAACTACATATTTTGGTGTAACAGCTGCCCGTTTCACAAGCTGTAGAAGTTCAGCTCTTACCATATCTTCTTCGTAAGGAATCGATTTGCTTGTTAACCAAGTTTGTATATCAGCTTTTTTCGTACTGGTGTTTGGTATTTTTTCACTTTTCCTGCTATGATATGAAGCGTTATCCATTATAATCACAGATTGTTCATCAAGATGTGTAACGATTTCCATAAACCACTTTTCAAAAACTTCACTGGTCATTTCTTCGTGATAATCCCCTGTTTTTTTCGATTCAAAACATAGCAAACCTTCCTCGACGAAGCTATCCTCGGACCCTATATGGAGAACAATAAGGCGATTTCCTTTGCCCGATGCATCTTTCAATCCAGTTGATAGCCCGTTGATAAATGCCTGTCTTGGAGTGAGAATTGTGGTGTCCTTCTATACTTTGCTTACAGTATGCCCAGCATTCACCCAAGTTTCATCTAGGAAATACAACTTCCTACCTTCTTCACGATATTTTCTAATTTCACGCAAGAACCGACGCCTCCAAGTAATTATTTCGTCCTTTTCCTTAAGAACACTATTGCGTCACCTCTTTTCGAATCTACAATGACAAGTACATAATATACATACACGTAAAGAAAAAAGGTTTACTGACCGAAAACCTATTTCTTTTATTAATTTCCATAAAGTAGTTCGTTTCAAATTGGGTAAGTCTTCGTCTTCGTGTAACACTGCCAAAACTTTACTCAGGGTAGGTGGTTCATTTCTTTCAAAGAAAGAATGAAGCAAACGTCGAAGAATACTTTTAGTTACGGAATCAATATTGTCCAAAATTGCTCGTGGTCGATAATATTTTTTAGGTGAATGAAGTTCGTGTACCTCTGTATACTCCCGAAGAATCTTGTAGACACTCGGAATGCTTACACCTAAATTACACAATAATAAGTAAAAATGAATGTGCCTAAGATGAAAATTACTTGCTGCTTTAGCCGTAAACTCAACTTTATCCGTTTTAGATACCTCCGGGTTGTCTTCCGAATATGCCTTGAAGATATTTAAAATGCCAGTTTTGTCTTCAACTGAAAAGTGCTTGGCAAAACGTTTTTTCGGTGGAGAGAAAGCAGCACCGGCGACATTCATGTTTGCGTACAACTTTTCTTGATCGCGAATAATATAACCCTAAAAACAGGCATGTAAAAATCGTGTATAAAATTTTATAATTACTCACCTGACTATCTTTAGAATACACCGACGAGTCTTTATAAAGACTATTTTGTGTGAATAAAGGAGATTAATGGCAAATTGACGCAAGTAAAGATGTAAAAACGTAAAAACCGGCAGAAACGCAATAGGCAAGATGACAGATTACCCAAATCGGCCAATTCGCTTTACAAGTGTGATTGTGGCTTCAAAAATTACACCAATAACAATGTCGTATTCAAATGTGGCGGTAATTGTTGAGGAGGGGCTTAACTATTTCTGTTGGGGGAACGAAGTTATAGCAATGTTTAACACATAATTTTGCGAACTAATTATCTTAACCGCACTCTTAGCAGACGACTTATACGGTAATACACGTTTAGTGCCTGCCCCATTTTACTTTTGACTTCGCAATTCATGTTTCTGCCTGTGAAATCTGTTACGGTCCCAATAAAACAGGAAGACTCGTCTCCGCCGAAGGTCTTTGCTTCCGTCGCGTCTTTCAACCATATACAGTGCGTTTCAGATAATAGGGTCACCTCAATATCTCTTTTATTCTGATGATATCATCGTGTGTAAAGGAAAGTGTGGATGCTCATTTCATCTGGAATGTGCCCAGCTGTCCCTGGAATCCTATACAGCTATGCAACAAGCTGGAGACATTAATAAATGGGTATGTGCAAATTGTATTGATACAAGTGCAAACATAACCTCGATAATAAATAATAATGAAATTGTTCAAAGCTGTGACGGTCGATTCTCGAATTCAATAATCGCCATAAACGTTGTTCAGAAACAATTACAAGGTATTATTCAAAATACTGTTAAAGCGGTAATCGAGAATTTTAAACACGAAATCGTAGGTCCACTAAAAGTGGAGTTAAATCATTTAAAAATTCAAAATCAAGAACTGTTAAAGATCTTGAAACAACAGGAAAATGAGAAAATAACTGCTACGCCAGTAGCTACTGGGAATCACCTCAATTACGCCAACGTAACTACCAGGAAACCTAAAAAGTATCATGATAATCTTGCTAATAGTAAGGTTATCACATCAGCACAACTATCTGAAGCGATAAACAACGTAAATATTCGTAAGGTCACTCCCATCTCTAACGAAATTCCCAAAGCGAATACGGAAAATCAACGAATTACCGTTGAACCTACTGAGGCGCCAGTAGGCGGTTCAACAGCTGCCTCCCAAGTTGCTTCTGTTGCTCCAATTAAGGATAATAATGAATGGACAACTGTGATAAATAAGAAACGGCACACGAGAAAACCCACGGGAATTCTTGGTTCCCGGGAAGACAGTGCGCTAAAAGCGGCTGAAAGGTTTACTCACCTGCACGTTCGAGGATTAGATGTAAGCTGCTCTGAGGACATTCTCATGAACTATCTCAAAGCAAATAACATTTTGAGTGCAAAATGTCTCAAACTGACATCCAAACACCCTGATGAGTATGCTTCATTTAAGGTATCAATCACTGAAAGAGACCTTGATCGAGCAAAGGATCCCAACCTATGGCCTACCGGAGTAATAATAATCAACCGTTTTTTTGTGAATCGACCGAGAGCGAACCCCGTTCCCTAGGGGATATCAGCTTCTCGGTGTTTCATCTGACCATTCAATGTCTGCGACACAAATTTAATGAATTGGAGGCGTTTTTATTGTCGAGTCATTCAAACTTTGATGTGGTGTGTATCAGTGAACACTGGCTAAAAGCAAACGAGATAGACAGTGGCTCCTTCCTTGATGGTTATACTGTAGCGTCGTATTTCTCAAGAAGTACTAATATTCATGGTGGTGTGTTAATGTTTGTGCGGAAGCATCATACCTTTAAATATTTAAAGCAAATAAATGAGTTATCTGTTGAAGTTCATTGCGAAATAACATCTGTGAAAATTTTTCCCTGCGAAATCATTATAGCATTGAATATCCAACTCCTCTATTCAATGATTATAGTGACTATTCAATTCATCTAACATTTGTCACATTTCAACCAGTGAAATGTCTCGATTTCAAATTGCTGCGCCAATGGGAACGAATTATAGTGATAATTGCACGTGTGGTATTTCAGCGACAATTCAATGCGATTATTCAATGACATTTGTCAAACTTCCATCAGTGAAATGACGCGAAATTTTGTCGTATTAACCGGAACATTCTTCTTAGTTTGTTAATCAATTTCGACAACCGACTTATCACCACATCTTTTAATTTAACCACTCATAACGAATTAGCTTGGAGCACAAAAGTTCGAATAGAATCAATAGCAAAATGAAAAGCAACTTCCATAATTTATTTTGACATTTATTGTTGTCATGGAAATACATTCGCGTGGGTAATTATGCTTAATTTTTCTTTTGATTCATTGAATAGTCCTCCGAATACCATTAGTAGTCGAAGTATTTGTAGATTATTTTTGAACTGCTGCTCCACTCATGCTAGTTACGCTTTTTAATACCACTCGCGCAAGCGCTCGTGGTATTAATCAGCGTAACTAGCATTCGTGACAGCACCTCAAAAATATTCGACAATACTTCGACTACTTATGGTATTATATATGACAATTCAACTCATGTATAAAAAATCACATAAGCCGCAGTGTAATTGTCACTTTGACAGCGGCAAAAGTTACCTGCAACTTTTCCAGCGACAAATGCACTAGTCGTTTTTTCACTTATTCATTTTCGAACCAATAATCGCATTATCCTTACCCATATGACTAGTTTGACGTCTGTCAATAATTGATTAGTTTGGTGAATTTCTTGTTCGTTAAATTGTCCTTCCGAATTACACTCGAGGTTTGTATTTAAACCGAATAAATTTGGGTTGTGGCAATTCAAATCTGTTTCCTTTTAGCAATTGGACTCGAAAAACTGTCAACCTAAAAATGCTCCACCTGCGGTTAAAAATGCTCCACCTGCGGTGTCGCATTTTTATTAGTTGACAGTTTTTCTCGTCTAATTGCTAGGCAACAGATTTTCATTACCTAAACAACCCAAATTTACTCGGTAAAATACAAACCTCTTGTGCAATTATAAGTGACAATATATCGCTCACCAAATGGCGACTTTGATCTATTCTTGGAGAAGGTTAACAACCTTCTTAACTTAATTCTGAACTACAAAAAAGTTATCTTTGCAGGGGACTTTAATGTAAAATTTAATTCCGTGGAAAAAAATGCCACTGCATTATGTGATCTTTTGGGTAGTTTTGGTTACTACCGTACTATATTTGGTGCCACCAGAGGCAAAAATTGTCTTGACAATATTTTTGTGAATTTTTCGCTACCATCTCAAGTGTCGGAGGTACATGACACTGGTATATCTGATCACCTAGGACAAGCTATTACTGTCGTGGTTCAATGCTATAGTCCAATCAGTCAGTATGAAAACTCGATCTTCAGACCGATAACTAACTAAGGGATATACTCTTTTTTCTGTCTGTTTAACAATTGCGACTGGAATTTTCTCGATAATGACAATCTAAATTGTGAAGAGAAGTTTAATGTGTTCTTTAAATTGACCAGGGAATCCTTCAATTCGGCTTTTCCATGCAAAACTTTCTCTATGAAAAAAACTAGTAATAAGGTTCTTTGGTTCAACATCAAATTACAGCAAATGTGGGAACAACTGTCATGGATTAATGAATTGCATCGTTGCACCAATAGCAATATAATAAAGAAGGCTAGAAACACTGTTCGCACCCAATACAGGAATGCGATAAAAATGGCCAAATGTTCTGCAAACGATAATATTATACGTAATCCCGGGAAAGCGGCCTGGAGAATAATAAATTCTTATCGACCAAACCAACCGGATTCTGCTACACCAAATATTGATCCTGAAGAATTCAATAAATACTTTGTTTATGCACATGATCTTAATAACCCACAACTTTCTGGCGGAGACCCAATTGACTTGTGTAAAGCTACTACCTCTTTCAAGTGCAACGAGGGATTTGGTTTTCAAAAAGTTTCTGAGTTTGAAATTAGACGTATTATCAAATCTTTAAAAAACAGTTCCTGTATAGACATTTATGGAATGAGTACTAAAGTAATCAAAGGAATTACCAGCTCATTTGTTAAACCTCTTACTAAACTTGTAAATGCATCTCTCACAAGTGGCACTTTTCCGGACTTACTAAAAACGGCTCTAGTTGTCCCGGTATAAAAAAAGGGGATATAACTAAACCTGAAAACTACCGTGCTATTTCAGTGCTACCGATAATATCGAAAATATTTGTACTAGTGATGTTTAAACAAATTATGAGATATTTTGAAGGGTATTGTATCTTCCATTCTAAGCAGTTTGGTTTTAGATCGAACAAAAGTACGTCAGACGCTGTTAGTCACCTTGTAAAATACTCTTTGGAGTGTTTTGAAAGTGGTCTTCATTCGATGTCTGTATTTATTGATCTCACTCGAGCATTCGATAGCGTTCCACATAAAATTCTGATAAAGAAACTTGATTTAATTTATAAATTTAATCCGAGCAGTGTACAGTGGCACCACGCTCAGAAAGTCCCTGACAGGGCGTGTCCGAGGGCGCTAGAAATTTAGACCATACATTCTGATGCAAAATTTAAAAACACTTTAAGGGAATTACATACCTTATCAGATCGTAGATCTAGGCTATATGCGATTTGAAAAAGACGAGTTTGTATAAAACTGGAGACGGAAAACGTAAAATAAGCAAATACAAGAAGCAAAGTGTAAACTAAAATAACGTAAAGCGTCAACTGTCAAAACGGAATAATTAATAATTATGGCGCGAATGTATGGCGTCGTTTTGCAGACTTTCTATTGGCCAGCTTGAATTATTTCAATATTAGTTCGCATATTTTCCGGGGCTTTTCTGAGTATGGTGGCACTTTATCTCTAATTCAGTTCTACCTAAAAAACAGAAAGCAGGCTGTCAAGGTGAATAGTGTTACATCGGGCATCCTTACGCTTCAGAGAGGAGTTCCTCAGGGCTCGATACTATGGCCGCTTCTCTGTCTTATATTCATCAATGACTTCGCAGCATATCCACAACAGTCAGCGGAATGTATCCAGTACGCCGATCATACAACATTCTGCATTAGGGGTAAAGATCCTAGAACCACAACGGAAACAACCCACCGCGTACTACATCTTGCGGAAAAATAGTGTCTAGCAAATCAACTTTATTTAAATAACAATAAAACTGTACGAATGTTAATGTCACTAAGAAATCATGAGTACGAGAATCCACCTTATGTTAAATTTTTAGGTGTCTTTATGGACCCGAAACTGTCTTTTCAGTCGCATATCGAGTATATTTCTAAAAAAATAAGCAAAAATATTTATGTTATGCGACGCCTTTCAGAATGCGTGTCTAGGGAGCTCTTAAAGCAAATATATACATCTTTAATTCAATCGCACATATATTATTGCAATATTATATGGGGCAATTGTTCTCATGCTAAAAGGGTGTTTGCCTTACAACGACGAGCGATTAGGGTTTTAGGTAATATCGGTTACAGAGAAAACTGTAGGAAGCTATTTATAGACTTTAAGTTGTTAACTTTGCCATGTATATTTTTACTGAACTGTGTTTTGTATGCTAAAACAAACTCAAGCAACCAAACTGTACGATCTGATGTTCATAATTTATGGTACACGTAATAGAGAGCAACTGAGCTTAGTATTTTATCGTCTGGAGAAAACTCACAAAAGCTTTCTACATATGTCTTATAACTTATAAGATCTTCAATCTATTACCATTGAGAGTAAGAAACTTAGACATAGTTACATTGAAATATAAATTAAAGACTTTCCTTTTACAGAAAGCCTTTTATAGTGTCTATGAATTCGAAATTTGTGATTTAAGTGCTATTTAAATAATATGTTTTCCTTATTTGACTTCTGTAAATGCACAATTCTAAGCATGTTAACAGCAATAAACATTATTATTATTATGTGTGTGGCTGGCCTTGCTGCATGCGCTGAGCGAACCTGAAAATATATTCAATCTGTTCAACGTCACATTTTCACCGTTTTATTCTCACGTGGCAAACCATAAATACTGTGATTAGTCGAGGATTTGATTACCTAATCGAATCGGAGGCACGCGTTACACCAAATACTTAGCAACAAAGTACCACAATTTTACTAAAATATAACTAGCTGTACGAACACATTTATCCAACTGAACCGCTTAACCAATTCAAAACTGTTACAACATGCTTAGAAATGTGAATATGCGTGTATTATCACAACTAGCAGTAGTTACAGCAAAAAATCTCCTGATGCTCACCTCCACCATGAGCTTCGCATACGTCGGCGTCTTAATTGCGTCTCTCTCACATATCAATTCAGAAGAGGTAATCTATTTCGACGAATACGAAACGTCATGGATTAGTAAGTTTGACAATTTAGCCCAGTATAAGCCCACAGGTATTTGTTTCAGGTTCAGTCGAACTTATTGCGTCGCTAGTCGGCAGTACACTTTCCGGTATTGTTACTGAACCGCTTGGTAGAAAGGTCTCAATGATGATGTTAACCATACCGTCTTTAATTTCCTGGGTTTTATTTCACTTCGCCGATGAGAAATGGCAGATATTTGCCGCGTTGACCCTGCAGGGGGTAACGAGCGGCCTCATTGAAGCGCCTGTAAGCATTTTTTAAATTATATTTTCTCTAATTTGGGTTATGCCATTGCAGATACTGAGCTATGTTGCAGAGGTGACGGAACCTCATCTTAGGGGAACGTTGTCAGCAACGGTGTTGGTCTCGGGCAGCTTCGGTTACTTCGTGGAGTTTCTTATAGGTAGCTTACTGCATTGGAAGTTGGCCGCCTTAGTGTCAGCAGCTATGCCAATTGTCGCATTCTGCTTGTTATCGCAGGTGCCTGAGACCCCCTACTGGCTGTTATCGCGTAATAAAGAAGATGAAGCCCGAAGAAGTTTGGCGTGGCTAAGAGGATGGACCACGATCGCGAGTATAGAAGATGAATTTCAAACCATACGTAAAAGCTTTGAAAACCACGAAAATAACGGCGTTGCATCTTCATGTGTAAGAAGAACGAAGCAATTCGCCAGAAAAAATTTTGTGTGGCCATTTACCTTGGTTTCGCTGTTATTTGCGTGGTCAAATTTCGTGGGGGTGGGAACATTAACTTACTACGCCGCGATTATTTCTGTAACACTAAAGTCACCGATTGATAAGTACCTTGTAACTGTACTTATTGGTTTGTGCCAATTCCTAGGGAGCCTAGTGTGCATATTTACCGTGAGTTTCTTTGGGAAGCGAATTACAGCCTTATTCGCTGCGTCCAGTCTCTGTGTTACTACAGGGGCAATCGGACTGTACGCACATCTACTAGGTGTGGTACGCCTAAACTTTGCAAGCATTGCCTCAGAAGACCATACGGACGACTTTGCATGGTTTACAGTTGTCCTTTTGTGTTGTTACGGGTTTATCAGCTACTGTGGGATAAGGAGTATTCCGTGGATATTAACTGGGGAAGTATTTTCGAACGAGACACGTGCCGTTGCTTGCGGATTGTCAACGAGTGTTAATTATTTCACTGGTTTTGTTGCCAATAAGGTATATTTAAGTATGATTTCGATCCTAACGCTTGCTGGAGTTTATTGGACCTATGCAACTATCTGCTTTCTCGGATTTGTAGTAATATATCTGGCGGTACCTGAAACTGAAGGGAGAACATTAGAGGAAATTGTTAACCACTTCAATGGTAAAGGAAAATTGAGTAATAAAATGAAGTTGTCCACGTCACTCTAATAAAGCTTGAGATCAATTTGAGGTTTGTGCATTTAGTGTTTATGTATTTACGGGCTCCAGTTTCAGACTCGGCATCAATTACAGCGGAGACATTTTTGCAATGGATGCAACATTTTGTTGCTAAAGTGCGATTTGCTCAAAATCAAAAAGTGCTATCGCACTTTGTAGAATATGCATAAAAATCTGGTAACAATTCTTTCGGTGCCTCTGCACTTAACCTACAAACTTCAACTTCTAGATATTGTGTTATTCGTTTTTTTGATATATTTTCAGAATCCAAAAGAAAAATAAAAACGAATATGGCCAATTCCGGTTTTTTCGATTTCCCCATGCTGTTCATTCTTATCTTGGACACACCGTATAATATATACAAGCTCTTTCAACTACAGTTTACACCGAGTTTTCGATGTGGTGGTAACCCAAAAATATAGAAAATTAATATCTATGCTTATTTTCTATGTCATACTTCCTGTCTGCACTGTGAACCTAAAGAGTTCAATGGAGTAACATTCGTGTGCGGACAATTCGCGCCCGGACAATTCGCACTCGGATAATTCGCACCCGGACATTTCGCTCCCAGGATATTTCGCACTCTGGACATTTCGCTCCCAGGATATTTCGCACTCTGGACATTTCGCACCCGGATAATTCGCACCCGGACATTTCGCATCTACTTCATGGAAAAATGTTTCAAATAATAGTTATTTGGTCTTTAATTTTCAACACATCGCGATTCTTTAAATATTTCCATTTCTTAAATATAATCACGCTGGTTTTTTTTGGAGTTGTATGAAGAGTCTGATATAGTTAAATCCTGTAATTTAAGAACACATAATTTTTATCTACTGCGCTTTCGTTTTCAGAAAATAAGAATAGGTAACTGAAACGTCTTTTGTGGAGTAATTAAAAGTTTCTTTTTGATTTTCTTACTGTTATTTATTTTATAGTTTGAAGAGATACATGGAAAAATTCTGGCATTTTTTTAAGAGATTGTTTATAATCAAAACAGTAAGGGTTTTGAAAATCTTGAAACGTTTTAGGAACAGGTCGATATTGATGATTTTTTCTTTTAAATGTTTGTAATTATTAAGTACCTATATACTTCCTTTTTAATTTTTGTATGGCATACCTAGTACTAAAGCAAAACCCTTAGCATTGGTAATTGCGCAACAAGGAAGATAGGACATCATTGGAAAGGCTTTCCTTCTCTGAATTTGGTGAGACTATAATTTTTTAGATTTGATATTTTCGAAATATTTTAAAAGTAAGTTGAGGGCGCGCTGTTGTTTATGTCATTGGAAGGATGTCGGGCCGATCACTATGTAATATAGAAGCTAATGCGATCGTGCGTCAAAATTGTGCAGAAGTGGTATAAAAAAGAGAAAACTTGTACCTGCAACGTCGAATGCGCTGGAAATGAAACAACTAAACCAAAAAAATTACATATCCGAATTCAGAGATGGGCGACCTTACCAACGATGCATCATTTAAAATTTTAAGGGTTGCACTGTCAGCGATGCGAGACAAAGACATTAGTGAGCAAGTTTTATTTTAGACACTGTTTCCTTCCATGATCAATTTGACGTGCCAAAGCGTTTTTTGAAAATTATTTTAATTTACAGAAATAGCTATGTATGGTTTCTAATGCACCACCGTATATTATTTAGCTTCGGAGAAATAACACCAAAATCTCCCCATAAAAATTGTTATAATAATAAATGGGTAGATTTTGGTGTTATTTCTCCGAAGCTTCTTAAGCACCCCATTGAGAGTCATGGATCTTCACAATTTCAGTATATTATTTAAATAATAGCCATATAATTTATAGCAAGATCAATTTTTTTCACGATATTTATCAACCTTTTTTGCTTTTTTCGTTACTTTACAGTTCTTATCTCTTTAATTTTACGGAAACTCTCAAGAATCTATTGGTTTTACGTTCAAATATGATTATAATTTACTTGAGATTCTTTTAAGACAATACATACGTATTTCGTTATGTCCTTTAAATGGACGACATCGAAGGTTAGAGAACTAGGGAACTTAACTTGCAGCAATTAACAAATAATAATTGTTAAAATTGTTAATAATGGATATGAGATTTAGGCGGTGCAAACTATACGGGCGCGTAACAATGGAGTTCGGTACAACGAAAAGGGAAAGAGATACATAATCTATGAAGGATACATGTACCTCTTTGCTAAGAACCTTAAACTCCAAAACTGCTCATCATGGCTGTGTCGAGCAAGAAGAGCAACGAAGGATCCATCGGCTCTTAGTTTAACATGCAATGCCAGGAGCTGGGTCAACGATGGCAAGGTAAGATTAGCTAAACCGTGCACTGATTTTGGAAGTGCAGATGGTTTCCAGTTTCAAAGCCCTTAATTGGGTATTTTATTAGTTAGGATATCGTCTTTTGACCTTTTGACTTTTTTATACGTAAGTTTCATCGTTGCTTATACCGTCGTCTAATGTTAGTTTTTAGGTTCGTCCCTCCCTTGCAAAAAATTTAGTTTATCAACCTCTTCAAATTTCAATTTTACTCTGGAACCAACCACGGATATGGTCGTTGGGCTTTCCAGTTTTACTGCGCTTTTGGGTTTTTAATTGGTTTCCATCTATTGTAAGTTTTATAGCTATAGTCTCTCCTCAATGATCTCTACCATCTTGTAGATCACCTGAAGATAACCGTTGGTCGAAACATGTAGTGTATCACTTCGTTTTATTAAATTATATGGGAACGGTTTAGAGAACTTTTATTCACTTATAATTGCACAAGAGGTTTGTATTTTACCGAGTAAATTTGGGTTGTTTAGGTAATGAAAATGTGTTGCCTAGCAATTAGACGAGAAAAACTGTCAACTAATAAAAATGCGACACCACAGGTGGAGCATTTTTAGGTTGACAGTTTTTCGAGTTCAATTGCTAAAAGGAAACAGATTTGAGTTGCAACAACCCAAATTTACTCGGCTTAAATACAAACCTCGAGTGTAATTCGGCAGGACAATTTACCAAACTAATCAATTATTGACAGACGTCAAACTAGTCATATGGGAAAGGATAATGCGATAATTGGTCCGAAAATGAATAGTGAAAAAACCACTAGTGCATTTGTCGCTGGAAAAGATGCAGGTAACTTTTGCCGCTGTCAAAGTGACAATTACCTTGCGGCTTATGCGATTTTTTATACCTACATGAATTGTCAATATTAATAAATTATCCCATTTAGAGTTTGAACACAAAATGGACGTCACGATTCCAAATTATACCTTAATATTGAAAGTATCCAAATTTTAAATGTAGGTATACGTCTATTACATGCACAAAGTAATAAAACGTGATATTGGTGAGTAGGTAATATTGGAGATTTCAAACTCTGAGTTAATTTAATACTTCACAGCCGACTTTCTATGTTAAAAGTCAATCATACACAAAATACCCTCTCAGGGGAGCGAAATTCTGGTGCGAATTATTCCGGTGCGAATTATCGGGGTGCGAATTGTCCGGGAGCGAAACGTCCGGGTGAAATATCTTTGGTGCGAATTTTCCTTGATGCGAAATGTCCGGGTGCGAAATGTCCGGGTGCGAATTATTCGGGTGCGAATTGTCCTACAACCGTAGCTTTAGTATGATATGTAAATAAAGTACCTAAACTTAACACCCAAGATAAATCATTACCCGGAAAGTTTATAAAAAGTAAAATTTCGTTACAAAAAACACTACATTTTTTAAGCAACAGTTTATTGTTTATACGACATATACCAAAATGTACATTATACAAAACTCTTCTTTTTTAATAGTTTGAATTTTTGGCACTTACTCCTGAAGGGTCTAAAGGTGTATTAAAAACCTTTAAAATATTCATAAAAGCTCTTAAAGACACTCAGAAGCTAATTTTTCAACATTTCTCCTCTCCTCGTCCGTGGAGAGTTGGGGTGGTGTGACACCCACTTACGGCATGTTACACTATGAACCGATTATAAAATAACTTCCTTGGTCTTCTTTTCCTTTAGGACTAAGATTAATTGGAAGGTGTAGTGAAGGTAGACAGAACGTATTTTATTTATCTTTATTTAAGTGGCCGAATCATCGGGTGCAATTTTAATCTCGATATGTATGATTTATGATATGTTCGATAGTAGCCGAAGCTATGATGATAACGTTTAATGATTACAGAGATTCAGGTCGATCGAACTTAATTCCCTAGGTCAGCAGAGGCCGACCCTTTAAAATACAATTCTAGCTATGTACAATTTTCTACTTACTATAAGTAAATTCGTTGTCAACACATAAGACCATAAACGGTGATGTTACCAAAGTGGTTAATAAGGGCATTCACCAAAAGATTCTACTTGCCCATGGGTCTTGCACTTCCTACAAAGGAAGAAAGTTCTAGGTGGATGACAAATAAATCATTTCGATTAGGGTTAGTGACGTACCCACTATAGTACGTACATGAGAACTTGTGATATGTGATCACGGTTTACGCTTCATCTGAATGGATTTTTCAGAATCGGGGCTAGATGAACGCATGGTGCCACTGGGCCTATGGTATTGAAATGGGATTATTATCAATGGCTGCCTTGATAGGCGCAGAACTTTTTTTCTCGACCTTATTACTTAACTTTGATATACCCTTGAAGTGATCTGTAATATCAGGCAAAGGTTTTCCTTCGGTTTCTGGTAGCAGGAAATATAGCACAGTGACACCCACGAAGCTGATTGCCGCATAAGTAAAGTACATACCAAAGAGGTACATGGAATCAATAATGTAAAGAAATGATTTATTTGTGATGAAACCGAAGACATTTGCTAATGCCGAACAAACTCCGCACCCTGTGGATCGTGTTTCGTAAGGAAAAACTTCTGATATCAGTAGCCAAGGCATGATATACATTCCAAAATAAAACATAAAACAGAGAAGCACAAGAAACGCCAACGGAATCCACTCATAGCCCGTCTGGTCTTTAAAAAAAGACTCTGAGTCGTCGTCGTCGAGGATTATAGATTTTATTCCAGATGCATACGCATAACAAGCCACCGATAACGAGCACAATCCCATTGTACTCAACGCAAAAAACAATATCACTCGCTTTCCCAGTTTGCGCACCAGCGATAATAGACATAACGAACCCAGAAGCTGGGTCACGCCCAGAAGAAGAGTGGCGTAGTAATTATCAATAGGAACTTCAAAAGTCTTGAAGATATTAACACTATACGTCAGTAAAGTGATGCCACCGGTAAAATAAACCAAAAAGTAGACGAACATGACCAATCCAAATGGCCATAAGAAGTTTTTCTTGAAAAAAAAGCCAGTCTTTTCTCTTATTCCCATTTTCTTGTTCACTCCGTGTTGGTCAAGGTATTTGCATATTTCCACAAATTCCCCTTCTATGTTTTCAGTTTTAGTCCATCCTCTCAACCACGCCAAGCTCTTGCGCGCTTCTTCCTCTTTGTTGTTCATGATTAACCAGTGGGGGCTCTCGGGGACAATAGTCAGCGCGATGAACGACAAAGCTGGCACAATCGTGCAGTATAACATTACTTTGCGCCAATGTAAAAAAGCACCCATAAGAAATTCAATAAGATAACCTATGGCCACCGCCACATTTGTCATGGTAGACAAAGCTCCACGTACGCCTGGTTCTGTTGTTTCCGAGACGTACGCAGCAAACTAAAAAAACAAAGATAGATTACTTTCACGTAATAATCAGACTTACCGGCGCCTCGATCAGTCCTCCAAAGAGACCTAAAACGCACAAGGCCGTGTACACTTGCCATATCTGGGTGGAATAGTATAAAACCACCCAGCACAAAATGAACGGTATAGCAACGAGTTGCAGCGACCTCCGCCGACCTAGGTAGTTGCTGGTTACACCCGAAAATAGGCTTCCAAGGGGAACCGACGCCATGAAGATAGAGCCTAAGAGAAGAACTCGGTTAAACCTGGAGCGGGATATGCAGTCGTCTTACCTATCCAACTAACCTCGTCTTTGGTTACCAAAAACAGGCCCTGCTTGTTATCCTCTAGAAGACCCGGAATTAATATCGTTGGTATTCCCAAGTTTAATCCGAATGCAATGATGAGGAGATTCTTTGCAGACAACGCGAGCACTTGAGATAGCGTTGATTGGTCGATTTTCGGTTTGAACATCATTTTCTCGATTGAGAGTTGTTGCAGCACCTGAAATGGAACAGATTTAATGCTGAAGAATTCCCGTTTATATCTTTTACAATCGATTAGTCAGCATAAATTTAATTTCCAATTTAAGCGTTTGGCCTAATGCTTTTAATAATTGAAAAGTAAAAGATTTCAATGCAGTCTCCAACCAATAGAACCAAAACGTAAAAATAATAGGCATACCAAATGACAATGACCACGCAGAAGATCTGTGGCACTTACAGTTTTGTATACGCATCCAAAACTTTTTCACAACAGAATGCATACTGTGGATTAATTATAATATTGTTGGATAATTAAATTAGGAATAATGTTTTTTAATGAGACAATCGCTAAATGCAAAATAGGTTTTTTGATTACTGACTAAAAAAGTTGTTTTTGTACGAGAATACTTCAACTTTTTATATTTACAGCATACTAACGGAAGCTGTTTTTGATCGCCCGTGTCGGATCGGAGAGATTTAATCAGTGGTAACTCTTAAAACTATGAAGGTATGTACTTTTTCTGATTCTACAAATTATATTTTAAAATTCAGCCTAAATTACAATGTTGCATACTGCCAGACATTTGGTATATAGCCTACTAAATAGGCACTGAATCTATATACAAGAAGAACTGAAACTTAGCTTTATTAAAGAACCATGGACTTTTATTATAACGTCTTGAATCAAAGGGTTTCTTCAATTAAATTTATGTTCGATGAAATGTTTTTGTGCCAATTCATTTTGTCTTTTGTCCATGTCAAGAATTAACAAATAGGGGGAAATCGTTTTTTCGCAGGAGTGCAGTTCGCATATTAATATGTAACCCATGCCCGCTAGCGATAGCTGTTGAATATAAGCATTTGGGGGATTTTTCTATTCCACATCAAAGCGTTTCAAGGTTCCATCTCGTAGATAGTAAATACACGTATATAATCTGTCACTTTCATGCAAATTACGAATAAATAAGTAAAGTTGTCACAAGGGTGTTCGAAATCTGACCTTAAAATACTCCAATTATTTAAGCGACTTTTATGAGTGCTGAAAAGCTTCTAAAAGCTGCTCACCTAGAGTTTCAATGAGCTTTCAGGTAGATTTTTCAAATTCTTTACTATGCATAATATACTATTTAAGAGGCTTTAAGAGCGTTTAATCTTATAATATCTTATAGCTAGACCATTTCAGAGTTTTCAGTGCTCTTATCATTACGAGGTGTATGAATTTTAAAGGTCTTAGTGATTCTTCAAAGCTACTACAGATTTTAGAAGCCGGAAAAAAGGTAAATTTTAACGTGAATAATAAACATTCCCAAATGCTCGTTTGGTATTCTTGTTATGGAAGCAGAAAACCTAAGTGCGCCTAAAATAAATAATGCAAACAATGTATATGTTACGGACAAAGTGATTAATCCGGTCAATGTGAATAATCGAGGGAAGAAAAATTTTTTGAACAGCCCCTGGGATGATTTCTTTTAAAATTCAATACTTTCTTAATTTCTTAAATTGCAGTAGCTTCCCTTCCCCTAAAATTTTAAAAGGAGATGCACCCCAAATTTATCACATTTTCCAAATAATCACCGCATTAATTACTTTGAAAGTAAATAATATTCTGAGATTGGGAGCAAAGGGGAGAAATATTTTGTTATGCGGAAGTTTATCTGGTATTGTTGTAAATATAAAAGCTTGTATGCACTTACTGGTATATTTGGTTGAAACGTCGTTGGTAAACTTAACTAACCGGCGTCAATCAAACGTCTCCCAATTTATAACACAATGCCCGCTATCCACTTTTTTTTGCAAATGAGAATCCCAACACTAAAGTTAGTTTTTTTGATGTCATGTTTGTTTTCTAATGAACCAAACTGTTGTAAAACCAGATTGTCTACAAACCTATCTAACTTATCACGTGTAATCAACATAATCTCAAAACTGGCAACGAAAATGTGAATTGGCGTAAAAACGTGAACTTACCATACTAGGCTCAGACTGAACCAAATTTAATACAGTTTCAAATTACGTCGACACGTATATCATAAGGTACTTAGTTTATCTGGCCCGCTAATCTAGCTCCCATATATTTAATCACACTAGACAACCTTGCACAGACACATACAAGCATAATTTAACGTAATTAATTCTCGAAACACGCGAATCCTTCTTGAACCAAAACAATAGAAAGATGAGTTTTATGATTACAATTGATTAATTACAATTACAGGTGATATTTTGATATTTTAAAAATAACAAAAGCGGCCGGTGCTACTTCTTACCTGGCGGAAGGCGACATTTTACTTCCGTACCGGAAATTTTTTTGCATACAACCTCAATTATTATACTTGAATGTCGATCGCGTGATTAAGTTCCATCTCCATAATTTATTATTTATCATAGAATTGCAATTGCTTTACTTTGGTTTTATGTCATTTTCATTCAATTTCTTTAGGTCGGAAGAAAACATATTTGACTTTCTGTTTTGGCATTTTTTAAATTTTCCGAATATTTTTAACCAACGTACATATTCTAATAATTAAAGGAAAAGTTAAAATAGAACAGTTAAAAAAATATAGATTATTTGCACTGATTTTGTTAGTGTAGTTCGTCCATACGAAATGCGTGCAACAAAAATTTTCCGGATAACGAAGAGCAGTACCCGTAGAGCTGAAATGGACGTAGTAAATAATTAGGAACTTAACTGGAAAGCGTTGTTTTAGAACCATATTCGGCTAGCTTCACATGTACTCATCAAACTAATAGTAGGAGAACAAAAATTAACGCGTGACAAACTAATTAATTAAGTACTAATTTAGTGCTTCAATTAATTAGTCCTTTATTTTTAGATGGACGGTTATACCGGGTGACAATGAAACTACTATCCACAGCCTTGCATTTTAAAACGATTTCAGGTACAAATAAAAAAAAAGAGATGTATGCCAATATACGATTAAAAAATGTGCATATTTTAAGCAAAAAATTACCAATTGCTTCCGGTTTTTCCGGAAACGATCAGAATTTGGTAATTTAGAGTAGCAATCATTATTGCATATTCAAATTTTAGGGAAATTACTTCTAATTACTATAGTAATCATTACATATTGTTGTGTAAACTATAAGTCAGGCGGGCGATTTATTTAGCTTCGGAACCTGTAGCAATGATGAGTCACCCTATATGTCTTATTAATGCCGATCATGTCATTTGATTTCGATGTCGATTTTGTTTTGTATCAGAATTATTAGTTGTTAATTATGTTTATTTTGTTTATTTCATTGTAAACAAATTACGTGCTACAAGATTGGCTTTAAACATCTGGAAAATATTTGCGTAGTATTTGTAACAGTTTACCTCATGGTTTTCTCCGGTGCGGCGAACTGGACGTGAAACAACCTCCGGATAACCGAATAACCGGCGCAGTGATAATCGGTGTAATTACAACTAAGTGAGTGCCGTTTAAATCTAAGTTTGAGTGCCTTCGAAAAAGTGATGTTCCGAAGAATTATAATTATGTGTCTGTTTGTGCGTCTGTCTGTTTGAAAATCGCACTTACCACCGGAGATTTTGGATTATTGACATTTTAAGGAAATTGAGATTTGCTTTAATTGTCTATCGATCACTTGTTTTCGTGGTATGTTATTCTGGCCCTGAGGGCCTGCTTACCTTTCAGCCTGTTTGTTTTATGTCAAATAAATTCGTTTCATCTGTAAATGATTGGTTTTTGGGATTGATCAAGCCCCTAGAGTTTTCATGTTTAAATTTTTAGCGCCGTTTTTTAAGAATTAAAAAGAAATGTGCTATTGTATGCGTTTTGTCCGTCCGTCCGGACCCACTTCTGCCGTTTTGAACTACTTCTGGGGGAATGGTCCTAGAATCCTGGAATTTTGCAGTAGGTAGCCTATACCTTGAAGTTGTGCCAGACGGCCATCAAGTTTCGCTGTCTTAAAGGGGGGTCTCCATGAATTATTTCCTGAGATGCTGTTTTTTAAAGTAAAACGTGTATAACTTTTACATAGGACAACCATTTGGTCCCCGATCCTGCATACGAATGCATTCGCATCGGTTTGTACAAATTATAACTTTCCCGCGCACGAGCTAATATCTCGAAAATGGTTTCTCGGAGGAAAGTACTCTCACAGGCAAAATGAATCGACTGGACGAGACATATCTATTGGTGAAGTCGAAGAAAATACCTTGACAACGAAGTGTCGAAAGAGGGTACTCATAAAAGGCGAGTAGAACGTCAGGACGAGACATATCTGTTGGTGACGTCAAAGTTCTCAGTGCAAATATCTGCAGAATGGAGTGTCGGAGGATTTTGAATGTATGCCAGGCGGTCTTTAAATGTTTATGCGTAAAGGACCTCCCCCCCATTAAACATCTACCAAGAAAGTAACTCCGCCCTGATAATTCTTTTTAAAAAGACTAATGTCTGGTATTACTAAGGGAAGATAAGATCTTTGACCTTGAGATCTGCCAATTTCAAGGTAATTCGATTCAGTTCTGTTATCGAAACAGGTCTGTTTATCAGAAACAGATCAGTTAACAGCAACAGGTTTGTTCATTAAAATCAGATCTATTCCATAGGAACAGCTCTGTTCAGTAGAAATAATTGTCCGTTTATCAGGACCAGGTTCCTTTAACCGACCTGTTTTTGATAAACGGAATTGTTTCCGTCGATTCATTTCAACGGTTTTAAGAGGTTGCTCTCCATCCTTTAAGACCAAATCTATTTTAACACCAGCACAAGGAGCGTTTCAAGTTTTAGTTTATACTGCCCCGTTTAGATTATGTTGGGTAGGTTAATTCAACCGTAGATGGCTAAGGTTTTTGTGCACATTTAGTTTCTTAATTTTTAACCGTTGCATGTAATCCGATCTTACACTAGGCCCCACGCCCCTTTTTTCTCTTTCAAAATCCCTGCATGACTAATTCAGACAATTACATTGTGTCGATTTTGGGGTGATTTTACACCAATTTATGGCAACAGTTCGGTTTCTGCCTAACACCTGACACAGTATAATCCCAATAATAAATTGCAAATTGTAAAATGACTATATAATTATTCTATTTAGAACCTGTTGTTGCCTTAAAAATTGAATAGGCGTCTTTCTAAAGAGGCAAGCCAACCCCTGAAGCCTAGATAGAGGAAAAGAAAGATATGTCGTTCTGCTATAGGATTATAAGCTGTGAAGTGTGAAGCTCGCCACTTTATTTAATTATAGCAATTGTATTTTTAATATAGGCATGTGCGGTTAACCTTGCTTTAACCGACAATTATTTATATTAAAAGAAAAACTATTTTAATTAAATGTACAGTGAAACTTTCATGATTCCTGCAGCAATTACCATTACGCTTCATTAAATGTCAAACCAAACTGCTTCGAGGGGAGGTTTGAAAATAACTCTTTTCAGTGCGATAGGTACAAATAGAATCCCGCTAAGGGCAAATAAGGGAGTGTATGACATTGGAAAAGAACATTTACAGCGCTGCCTCGCCCTTTATAAAAAAATGTACCCAAACAATTCCATTTATTTCCCGTAATTTACACTGAATTTCCTTCAACGTACTTTCAATCAAACCTTATAAAGTCTAACACTCCTTGACTACATATCTTATACACTGCGTCCAAGGTAAGGATGTCTGTCATGGGGAATTCCGAAACCATAGCATACTGCACAATTACGAGCTTTCCGCCTGCCAGCGCTAATCTAATCTCCTCTCCCAACGTCAATCTTCGAATCTGGTTTCCGCTCGACTGCTATTCGAATTTTGTTTCAGCTCGACTGCCAAAACTAAAATGTTCTAATGTTCTGCAAATAATCACCTGTTGAACTACTTAGTAATTTTTGAGCGCCTACTCTATAGTAATGGCGGCGGTATTTTATTAATTTTCATTGGCTCAAACCAGCTTGCATCGCTGTATACTGAATTTCGGATTCTGTAAAATCAGCTTATTTTTACCAAGCTGTGCTTAATTTGTAGAGTTGTAGAAGTAACTTAACAGGACCGATTTCCAGCGTGTAATTCAAAACCAAAGCCAGAAAACGAGGTGACAAACACAATTTAGAACAAATAATTCATTGACAAACGTGGGGAAAGATTACGGACCCTCGCTGCTATTACAATGGACCAAATAAAAAAAACTTGAACTGAACATGAGTAATGTTTGTTTGGTGGAATGCTCTTGCAAACTTGACTTTTTTTATAATTGGAAATTTTTCTTTGGCATAATTCCAATCGCAAAAGCTTTAGCGCAAACAAATGCTCTCGTTACAAATGTTATTGTAATTGCTGCACATGGTATAAATGTCTGTTCTAACAGTAGGAAGATAGAGAGCAACAGGATTTCGAGTCTGCAAAAATTGAGGGAGAAATTTAATCTGTTCTAATAAAGGAGAACAATTAAGTTTATTATTAAGTAAACGGGGAAGGAATTGAAGAGATGCGTAAATCCTTCTAAAATTGCATTCGGCCCTGAGATGTGTCAGAAACGTCAAACTTAATGTGCAGGTTATCTGCCAAAGGCAGTTATTTTGCGTTGTGCAGTATGGGCAAAATAACGTTTTCTATAAATAAAAAGTAGTGAAATTGAAATACAATACAAACATTGCTAGCGATGACAGATACGTGATATATATTTACAACGACGAAAATTATACACATTTTTGCTACTGTAATAAGGAGCAAATGAACGTTGACATCATTGGCGGCATAGTTCACAAAAGCAGACTGACAAAAATCCCCTGGACACTAAGAAAACGTATCAAAAATACTGTCTTGGGTATCGATCAATCGAGTTTGGCCATTCTTTGAACAAAACTGGTGAATATTAGGTTTTTACAACGCGGTGAAGTGAAAAAACAATTTTTGAAATTTGCACATGGTGGTATGTAGACTGTAGTACAACGGCAAGTGAGAACACAAACGTCGCTACAAGTGCATAGGGTACGCTAAAAGCAAAACAAACGAATGGTTTCGAGAAACCGCATTCATCGATGTGTATTAGTATGGTCTTATCGGTAAAATTCTGGAGTGGTTAATCTCGAATGCCTATTTTCAACACTTATTTTCAAACATCTTGTACTTTGTACGGTACTTACTCAGAACACTTATAGACGCTGAAGCTGTTTGTAAATAAAATTATTATTGTGTTTAGTCATTGTTTTTTTACCTGCCTCATAAACGAAAAACAAAAAGAAACAAGAAATCGGGTATATTCATTAAAAGGTTGGCTTCATTCGTTCAATGATTTGTTCTTGGTCTTTACACCTAATTCCACATAAAAAATGAATTATGTTCCTTTACAACCTAACCATGGGGCCGTTTTGAACAAATCCCTCCTCCCCCCCAGTGACTATTACCAGTTTAAGACATTGATAATGGGTATAATACATGCATTAATGCTCTGCTGCAACAATACGCTCAAAATCAGAAGAGAAGGATTTGCACTTACCAATTAGTTAACTATCTTTTTTCTTCGGGATTACCCAAACACACACCTTCTGCTTTTGTATTAACTACGTCAGGTACTACAGCCACAACAGGTCATTTATTTATCGCGGATATTTCAAAAATTGCTCCACTTAATCTATTCGTCGATTTATAGTGCAAAACATGGAAAAAGGTGGCAAGGAGGGGGAATAAGGAACTTCTCCCACTTGAATTATACCTGATCTCAACCTGAATTGAATTTGAACACCCCCCCCCCCCCCAATTCAGATCCGATTCCGATTATGGAACGATTATTTGTCTATCAACCTAAATTAATTCTGTATTTTTTAATAAAGAAACCATCTTATTAAAAAGACGTTGAATTTTCCCCTTGAAGTTTGGATCTTTTGCAACTCTAGCAATTCCGTCCGCTCCATATATAACACACATATAAATAACGAAACGTAACATTTGTGACACCGTCCGTTTCTTCATTTAGAAATGTTTACTTTAAATTGTCGTGCAGAATCTAGCCCTGTGTGAGAAAAAAATTTACTCAAAGTCGCCATGAAACATTTATTTTCATGCCTACTTTATGAAAGGAAATTATAGTTTCCATGACAGAGGCAGAGCGGACTACGTTTCCTGCCGCTTGTCATTTTACTCGGAAATTAGAGTACTTAGGTACTTTATAAGTAGATTATCAAAGAATAATCTTCAAAAAATCTCAGCCATTTGGTGGATCATGTAAAAATGATCTTACACTTTTTAAACGATTCTCCCAATTTTGAGAATTTTCTTATACTTTTGAAGCAAAAATGCTTCAGAAAATGGAAGATAAAAATACAGAGGCAAATTCAGGCCAAACAGTATAGGCACAATCGTTCAAACCACAAACAGTTTCTACTCAAAAATTCAATCCTTATACTCAAAAATGCTTTCACACTTTCTCACTCAATCCGAGGTCAAATCTAATACAAATGCGCAACAGTTACTTACAATTTAAGTTCAAAATAGCTGCTTTTATCAACAATCTTGTTGGAGGTAATTGATATAAAGAGAAATGGTCAAGACTGGAGAGCACTTTTAGACCAAGGGAGCCAGTCTAACTTCATTAATTCAGATTTCTGTCAGAGACTTGGACTACCCCTTAACCCCATTAACATTACAATTTCAGGGGCATTCAAAGTCGAATTCAGAATTCATTCCATTTGTAAAATTCAAATTTGCTCAAAAATACTCCATTTAGAGCTCCTCTTGACTGTTTAGTTGTTCCGGAAATATGAGATGTTGTTCCGGAATCTTCCTCTTTCGGTACCTACATGTCATAAATTGACAGATCCTCAATTTCATAATCCTAAACCAGATGATTTACTAAGTAGTTCGGATTTATTTGTGGAATCATTATGCAAAGGTCAAATCCATCTCAAACCTTCAGTTTATAAGATTAAGTTTGAATGGGTAGTGGGTGGGTGGTAGTGGGTAATTTGAATTGGTAGTGCTTCTTCGCATAGTTCAACCTCTTCTCAAGTTCATTTACAAGGTTTAACCATACAAAATCGGCTTGCTCGCTTGTGGGAAATAGAGGAGTGTGATGATTTAATTCATTCTGCAGAAGAACAAAATTGCGAAGAAACTTTTATTTCTGCCGGTCTTGTTCTGCATCCTCAGGCTGGTCCTGAAACCCTTAAAAAAGGTAGTTTTTTAACCACAATCGATTTAAAAGATGCTTACTATTCCATACCTGTGGACCCTAACTTTTAAATATTTTTGAGATTTAGTTTTGAGGGGTCTTTATATGAATTTAGGTGTATCCCCTTTGGGTTGGCATCTGCACCTTACACGTATACTAAATTATTGAAACCGGTGGTTCAACATTTTAGACAAAGGGGTGTGTTGCGTTATTTATTATCTTATTATTGGAGGTACCGATTCGGAATGCCGAAAACAAACACAATATGTATGGAGAGTTTTGAAATCTCTAGGATTTCTGATAAAAAAGGACCTAGAGCCAAAAACAAGTCAAAAAATTTGAGGTTTTACTCTGTCACGTAACCTAAGACTTCCGATACAAAAGGAATTAAAAATTTGTTAGTTTGATTTCTCACTTCTTACGAGTAAAACGCTGTAAGATAAGGGATTTTGCCAAGTTAATAGGATTTTTAGTATCGATTTGTCCAGGAGTACTATACGGCTCGCTTTATACTAAAATTTTAGAAAGAGACACATTTTAAACTTAAAAATTAATGACTCTAATTACAACTCTGACATGATTTTGTCCAATAAGGTATTATTAGATCTACATTGGTGGATTCAAAGTATACCAAATTGCTCTAACCATTTTCGGTGTGATTCGTTTGATCTGGAAATGTTTACCGACGCATCGTTAAGTGGATGGGGGACAGGGGCTGGTGGACAACGCACTCACGGTTGGTGGAGTGAAGCTGAAAAGAATTTACATATAAATGCTTTAGAATTAAAAGCGATTTATAGTCTACGTAGTATCGCAAGAGATATGAAATCTTGCAATTTTTTAGTGAGAAAGGATAATACCACAGCCCTGTCCTATGTTAACAGAATGGGAGGTATAAAATTTGAAAATTTAAATTTTTTGGCTAGAAGCATTTGGCAGTTTTGCGAGAAGCGCAACATTGTCCTGGTAGCAGCTTACATTAGCTCTAAAAGAAACGCTTTGGCAGGCAAGGGGTCTAGATTGCTACCTACAGAAACTGAGTGGTCTCTGGCTCCTTCAGCTTTCAGTAGAATCGTTGCGTTTTTTGGGATTCCAGAAATCGACCGTTTTGCATCTTGTAAAAATCATAAATGCAAAAAATATATCTCGTGGTTACCGGACCCACACTCGGTGGCCGTAGACGCCTTTACGGTTAATTGGAGATATCTGAATGTTTAATCCTTTCTTTCTTTTTCTTTAATTTTGCGAACAATTGAAAAAATAGTCCAGGATAAAGCACCCTCCGTAGCCAAAAATTTTATGATGCTTTTGTTTCTCCTTACCTATTTTCCAACATTCAAACTGCAACCAAAATTGCCAACATCTTGTACTTTGTACGGTACGTAATCAGAACACTTATAAATGCTGAAGCTGTTTGTAAATAAAAATTATTGTGTTTAGTCACTGTTTGTTTGTCTATCAGCCGGTGTTATGAAGCATACTTAACTATGTTGTCAGCTAACAATGTTGTTAAGGCATGTGATTGGATGTTTTTTTGAAGAATAACATCATTCTTTGCAAAAAACATCCAATCACATGCATTAACAACATTGTAAACTGACATTATAATACCGACTAATATAGTAGGTACATAAAAATGTCTCAAACGTGCGCAAATCGTCGCATAATAATCAAACATCGCCTTTCTATCAAAAAAAATTGTGCATAAATGATCTCACCACTTCCGTATCTTTTACTCCATGATCTTTTTGTTTATTTCGAATATGTCCATAACTTAAATTACTCAAGGTCGTGGTCTGAATTTCGCCAAGAAATGCCCATAGATTCAGTGAGGTACCTATGTGAGTTAGTGCAAATTAGCGCGACTAATGTATGACTTCGGTCATTAAGCCTTACCTTAATTTGTGTGAGTAATGAACACAGACAAGTTCTTACCTGTTTCACAATTGTTTAAAAACGAATACTGATAATTTCAAACGCAGTAATATTGTTTTATTGGATACAATACCATTTATCGGTTTTATTACATTTGTGTAATTTTTTTATCTTCACGCAACTCAAATAACAATAAATCAAACCTATTTTTTAGTTACATAGTAGTGGCACTAAACAAACAAATTTAAACTATGTTGCACTATACCTTTGGAAAAAAATTGAAATTCTATTAGTTTATGGAGATTAGTTATTTTTAAGAATGTTAGGGATGATATTAAATGGGATGGTTTTGTTAATAACGATAAGTCATGGGCGAAATTAACTTGATTTGTTTCATTGGGTATTTTAGGCAGTACAATGATGCAAAATGACTGCAGACAGTTTGAATTTGGTGCTTAAAATTTGTCTTTTTACTTATGGCGTTGGCGATCATGGCTTTCCCCCATACACAAATCACAGTAACAACGATCCATTGGCGTCGGTTTTTTTTTACTGTGTGTGCTGTACGTCTCATGGTTAGGAGTGAAATATGAAAAAATTGTGTACCAATTGCTGCGATACCAATAGTTCTTTGGGGAGTAGTTTCTTGATGTTCAGTTTTTATGTGCCATAATAGCTTTTATGTGTATAAAGGGTGTTAATAATGATATTTGGGTGCTATTGCAATATTAGTGGTAAAATCAGATTAATTACCGCAAAAAAAGGGACAAAATGAGATGCGGTCAATTCCACCATAGCGCGTGTGCTCGCTTATATCCGTAGAGCGCATGTACTGAAGGGTTAATGGCTCACTATCGTAGTGCAACACGTTTAGAAAGTGGTACATGGTCATATTCCACTAGATCCTGCTTTCAGCAATTTAATGAAGCATATCCTGACCACCACTTTAGTTATAAAACCTTCGTTAGTCATAAGCACCGAATTAAAAAAAAAGTGATTATTTTTAGTTGCCCATTAAATTGATCTACCAGAAGCAGTAATGAATGACATTTGGCGTGTTACAAACATTGAAAATTACTCGTTTTGCGGGAAATTCAAACTGTCCGCACTACTTTTGGATCACCCGGTATATTAATAGATGTTTTGTTGTTTTTTCGCAATCACATTTGGAAAAATGAATTAGCTCTAAACCTTTTTATAGTTATGTCATTGACAACTTACTTTTTCGCCCCTGGAAGATGATACGCTTCATCGACGAAGATGGTTGCCAAAATGTATTTCGTTCATTTGTCTACATATACCTACCTCCAAAAGCAAAACGCACATATACTTTTAATTTTTGGTAAGGTTTCGGGCATCATAAAAAATATCACACGTGCATTTCGTCTGTCAAAAAAGACTTTGACAGTATTTGGTTTCGTTTTTCTGCGTAGGTACGGGATCAATAATGAAGTATCACTTGGTAGGATGATTCATCAGTTTTTTATTGCATTCATATTAAGTTAATAATTATTCATTATTCATATTAGGTTAATAATTATGTATTTTGTAACAGTCTTATCGAACTATTTCAGTACCAACTTATCCTCTTTTCCAAAATTGTTAATGAATCTATTGAAACTGATAAGAAGCACGAATTTGGTGTAAACGGTTGCCAGCAAAAAATAAATACTTTTTCCTTTATAGTGAAATTATTTCATCCTTTCGTTGTTGAAGTGAGATGACAGTCAAAGGAAAGATTTTTTGTAGTAGGTGCTTAGCAAGTGCGACATGTTACTCCATGGCCAACAAGTTTTTATCGATTATTAGAATTTTTTTATTTCGTTTTTACGCTTGCATAAGACCTCAGTTGCATATTTTTATGTCATCCGATGGATATGGATATGTTTTTATTTCTCCTGTAGGGGAGCAGGCCGAAAATGTATTTTTCCATGTTATTTCCCGGCCCCTCTCCCTGTTATGTCGTACTGCAACCGAGACCGCAACTGTCCACGCTGTATTGCTATAGTAGATTTTGAATGTGTGCCAGGCGGTTTTAAATGTTTATGTGGAAATAGCCCCCTTTCCATTAATCATCTACCAAGAAGTTAAATATCAATAAATTTTGCATACTACTGTTTCATAACTCAGTAATTGTTGTTATTTTGATTATAAATAGATACAGTAATTCACAAACAACATTAAAAATTGAATAAAAGAAATTAATTATACTCACAAAAACAACGCAATCAATCCACGAAAATGGAACCTCCTCTACAAAAGAAAACTCGCCCCAATTAAAATCCTGCTTAACAGCAGTTTTCAAGACGAAAATGAAAATATATCAAAAACGGATAGATTTAGGTACCTATATGACATTATACCTACATCAAATATAGTATTTTGTGTATAATCTAAAAATACAAGGTGTTCCGTTTAAAATAATAAGCAAGCTGACATAACCGGATGTCTCACCAACTTGAAAATGTTTTGCATAAATTCTTTTGATTTGCATTATTAGAGGTATTGTGAAATACAATCGTAAATAACTGCGAATTTAGCTTTAAGCAAAGAGTAATTATTAAGTATTCTTTGCTTAAAGTGATGTCTAAAAATTTGACATCACATCACATGTATTGCATCCGATCGAATTTCAACCCTGCAACGTCAACCGGATCTGCAAGAATCAGATAGAACCTATTTACTACGTTCATACGACGTAAATGTAGCCATTGTTTTTTGATAACCCTGTTATTGGTTAGAGGTAGGTTGAGTGCTACGCTATAAAGTGGTAGTAATTTGATTAATTTCAAACCGCGGGAATTTTCCCAACTTAATTGCGGTTACCCATACCGGTTTCAAGATAGCGGACGGCGGCAATTTTCTTGTGGGGGTTCTGGAAACGCAAGCTCAACACTTAATCAGGATAACCCGTAACCTCAGCGAGTAGATGATGAATTGGATCATTGGAATTAAAATACTGAAGCTAATAATTACGCGGATAATTCCTCTCTAAGGAGCTTTACTCGGAACACTATACGATACGATAGACTTTTATTAAAAAAACTTCACTCGAATCGATATATGATCGATGTCATTATTTCGTACGCGGATCTGCTTCAGAGGCAGGTAGCTTAATTAACGCTGTAAGTCTCTTATCGTTCGAAAATGAATTATATACGTATGTAAGCTAGTATAAGGTCAGTTTCCTTATTTGTTTACATTGTTACTTTCCTTGTATCTTCCCAGTTTTATCCAGTGAAAATTAAGTTGTTCAAAGAAGCGAGGTGGCGCTCAACCTTACGAAAAAACTACGAAGATTTTATACCCAAACGAACTAACCGCTGCGCTGTAGGGAATCTGAAGCCGTTCTACTTTTACAACCCTGAGCTACTTGGCCGTTTACGCGGCGGGTTTTTAGAAAAGCAATATGTTAAGAGAGATGCATACCAATCGGAAAAAATAGAACTTAGGTAAAAAAAATTATCAAAAAACGGATCTATAATTCCAATACATACACGATCAGACAAACAGACCGATCGTAAACGCTATTTCATTGATCTAATAAACAATCAGCCTCTACCCTGGACATTGATTATGTTTTTGAATGCTACGTTGGATTGTGAACTGTTTATTCCTTTTTTAAAGAATTGTTTTAAAAATAGGAGCGAAACGGTCGCTAACCAAGGCCGTGTAGAATGTAAAGTGCAGTATTTACCTTTATTTGTCAGTCACTAGCACTGTTTCCACCTATACCCCACTCGTCTACATATGATTACTGATACTTTCGAAACAGAGCACTATTATCGAATGGCATAGGTAGCACGTATAGGTTTCTATCGCACTTTGTGATGATTAGACACTTTTCTCAGTTTATCTGGTATCGGTCATAATTATTAACCTTCACATTTCTGTGCAAATACAATTAACGTGCGTTCATGGAATTTGATGCCCGTTGCCAGGTTTAAAATGTACTTAACTACTACTATCGATTTAAATTAAGCTGTACCTGTCGTTAATTTAACTGGTCTGTACGAAAAGGGCACGTTACGAATAAAAGTAATAACGAGGGTCCAACGTAAATTGGGCATTATAAATAACCCTCGTCTAGGGAGTTACAAGGCGCGTAGGTACATGTTCGTTATTTCTAATTTAAAATTCCAGTTAAAGTTAAAGATTCTTACTGCTCATTTATTAATTAACAAGTGGCCAACTTCATTCGGCCCCGGTTACACGGTCTACAAGTTTGGAGCGCCGTGAAATCTGCCTCTACAAGTAAGTCCTGATTAATAAATGCAAGTATGGTCTAAGTAAAATTGACATGTCTATACTAAAGAAGAATTTACTAAGAAGGTACAAAAGATCTACCTGGAACCTGCTAAGTTTCTTGTGCCAACACTTTACGTTTGATTAATCGAGCGTAGGCCATGGTTTCGAATTTTATGTCTCTTATTTAGATGGAGACCTACTAAGCATTTTCTACACTACCTGCACTATCTCTACACCTACCCGAACGGCGCGTCCGAACCGCAACGAATTCAACTCCGTCTTTTGGGCCAGATTTTAATAATAAAATAATATATTGGCTTTGTAGGTATGCGAACGCATAAATGACAGTACTCAGGACCCACTAAGTACGAGAATGCGGACTGGTATTAGGGGTTGAAATGGACAGTGGTTTAATTAATTTCATTCAACGACCTAATTGCACCCCTTTTTAACAAAGTAAGTTACTTCTTTACTCTACAATAAATGGTTTTTAACTGCCCCCCCCCCCCAGCCTTCTGCTTTCTTACAAGTTAAATATTGCCTCTATTGTGTTCGTCACATAACCGAATTCGGTTTTTTAGTAATAACGAGGGTTTAACGTAAATTGGGCGTTATAAATGACCTTTGCGTCTACGAAGTTGCAAAGCGCGCACACATTCGATATTTCTAGTAAAAATTCCAGTTAAAGATAAAGATTCTTAGCTTAATTATTAATTAACAAGTATCTATAAAGTGGGTCACTTCAGTACCGATCTTGTTTTGTAATTAAACCCATTACCAGAGAAATGTTTTTCAAAAATATTGATCCTTGAAATGTGATTACAAAGTACCCATATGTAAAGGCGGAAACAATATTTACATCGGCACTTAAAGATA